TTTTATAGTAAAATGACTAACAATACATATTTATAGTAAAACGACTAAACACATTCTATTTGTAGTTGAAGGTATACAATTACGTTTGAAATAAATTTAGTTGTAGCCATAAAATTGTGTTCAAAATATTTAGATTTCAGCATTAAATAGCCCATAGAGGTGTTGACATGCCACTAAACAAAATCAACTAACATGGAAGAACATTCATGACATTAATCCATATAATATCCTACAATCTCTTAAAAAATATAACTACAACATAAGACACATATCACCGCCTCTAGTAATTACGTCCTCAGAAACATTTATATGCACAAAAGCTGGGTATCATCTACCATGTATTCAATTGTGAAAGCAGAATAACATGTCATATTTTTATTACTTCAAAACTCCCAAGAAGATTAAATTTTGTTATTAAATGACCCATAAGAAGTTGATATGCCATTAAACAAATCAAATTGTTGTAGTTCCTCAGTGCCAATATTATACATTACTTGATAGTAAGTTTTGTGGATTCTTGATAAGTGTTATAGATTATTCTTAGTCACTGACTCTTTTAAAAACTATCTGGGAAGTACAACTCCAAGTGTATCACCATCACTAACTACTCTGTGACTTACGCTAGTGTTTGGACTGGTTATGGTCCTATGTCATCTCTTCACCATGTGAAAAGTCTCTTCATAATAAATGACACAACATGTGGGGGTCAGTCTTGACAAATTTTTATTGTTTACAGTAGGGAAATGTTGCCCACTAATTGTCAGCAAAATGAATGAGAGGGCAAGGTAAGGGAAGAAACTTCCTGACTGCAACTTGTTTTCAAATTTTTTTTATTTATTTATTTATTTTTTTGGGGGGGCGAAGGCATTTGGTAGAAAGTTGAGGGGGTAAACTACTCAGAAAACTCACCTTCTTGCTTCTTCCTGATTAGTCAGTTCTGAGACCAATGAAAAGACTGCAACATCTTGTTGAATTTTTACTGTCATTTTTTTTGCAAATTGGCTCTGTTGGACATATCATATTTCAGAAATATGTATTTCCAACTACCTGTGTGACTGTTTATTTGGTGATGATGTTTTCCTTATCGCTAACCTCAGGTTATTCTACTTTCTTGTATGCCTACAAAGTTACATGAGTCGCATTTGATATTTGCAAAAGTAGGTATACACTAATGAAAAACAAAACTTGTGCATAAAATGTATTCTATTGATTATATAAACATATCAATCTCTTAAATGTTCAAACTGTTTGCCCTGTCAATCACACACTCCTTTATTTTAAAAATTTATTATTATTATTTATTAAGAAATAAAAATTATAAGAAATTATGAAAATAAAAATATTAAAAATGATTTTAATGAATTAAGTGAATCCTAGAGCCACTATTATATTATAGGTAATATTAATAATATTGGTATAATACTTACATTTTTAGCCCCCTGTATACTATATATATTCCCTGTATACCAGGAATTATCTTCCTTAAAACATAAGATTTGAAGTAACTGCGTAGTTACAAATTGCTCTATCAAAAATGTAGATATAATTATGTTATGGTAAGAACATTTGTTGGTTTACTGTGTCATGTGAGACAATGTTTCTCTCCAGAACCTATCTTACATATGTATAGGTCTACCATTCGTCTATGCTTAAAATATTGCTGCTACATATGTAGAGAAACCGATTTTCCATTTCAAATTTTCCTCAATTCCATCTCAGGTTTTAGGAAATTCCATTTTTTTTTTTTTTTTTTTTTTCTTCAGAATAGATTTCTGTTTTTGCTTCATTATAATACTATTAATATATTAATGAGAAAATGTAGCAATATATAAATTTTATTAAAATAAAATGAAAAATTTTACTATCTGGAATATCCACCCATTGGGTAAGTTGCTGCAGCTTGATAGCGTTTTGTACCCCATGCTTCGGCCCTTAATCTAACTTGATGAATTTCTGGGACAACATATGCAAAGGAGTCTACAATCCTAAATAAGAATTAAGTGAAAGTGGCAAAACCTACAGAAAAGTAGCACCACAAAGTTTATTTAGAGACAAAAAGCTACATTATTGTTTGGTTACTTTATTAAAATTATTAGATAACAGTTTTGAAAAAAGTCAAATTTGTAAAATTTGGCTTTCTGAAATGACAAGCTGCCCCCAACTCTGTGACCATGTGGGATAGGGGAAAAAAATCTAAAATAAAAAGATGAAATCCCCCCCCCCCCACAAACATCACCTTTTTTTTTTTTTATTAAATCAGCAAACTTTGTAAAACTGGGTTCCCAAATATCATAAACTGTAGTGAGACAGTAGGTAAGGAGGGAGGGGTGTATTAAAACATTACTGACTTTATCCTTTGATGTCTGTCAGATGAGTGAGTTAGGAAAGGCAAACAGTAAGAAATTAAAATGTTTGTTGATAAATCTAATTGTTAGAAAAAAAATTCCATTTCAAAATCACAATTTCCATTTCAAGAAGGGCATTCTGTTTTTCTGTTTTCACGGAAAATAAGCCCCTCTACATATAGTCCAGTGTACCTGCTATTTACCTTGATAAAATGCAAAGAAGAATCATCAATATTATTGGTCCTGATCTGGCATCTTGGCTTCAGTCACTTTCCCATTGCCATAAAGTTGCCTCTCTGTGCCTTTTCTATAAATACTTTCATCGTAATTGTTTGGAAGAGCTCTTCGTTATGGTACCTAGACTTTTTGAATTTAAGCTCAGTACGAGGATGGTGTCGAGATCTAATCAATTGACAGTTGAGCTGGTTAGATGTAGCCCTAAGTTCTATGCTAACAGTTTCTTTTCTCTCACTTCTCGCTTGTGGAACTCCCTTCCAGCTCCATGCTTTCAAGCCAACTTTAATCTGCAAAAATTTAAATGCAATGTCAATCACTATCTACTGTCATCCAGTTTACTCTTTTCTCTTCCCACTCATTATTAATGTTTCTATTCCTAAATCTTCCACACACAGTAACAATTTGTGTCTTAGTAACTTTATTGCCTTGCTTGGAATGAAATCAATTAAAAAAAAAAATTCACCCCCCCAAGCAATGCAGTAAAGACACTAAGACACAGGGGGTTACTGAGTGTGAAAGAAAAAGAAAAATAGAAAGGTTATTAAGGAGCAAGAACAATAAAAGAGGAATCCAAAATACAGTAGATGTCATGTATACAAATTCATATAAATGTATAAATTTAATTTTCATTATGTTTTTGGGGTTTATTTATGTATTCTAAATCACATTGTTTTTTAACCCTAGAACACTAACCATGGGTATATAGTACCCAGCACAAATTTTCCCATTTTTAATTACAATTTTCAGTACTTGATTTTCTTACCTAAATAATGTTTTTCAGTTCCTATTAATGTTAACTCAAAGTACAAAATTATAAAACAAGACAACCACTGTGTAAAATTTTAAAAGGAAGAACACATTTATTTACAGTTTACACAATTACAAAAAAAGATACAAGTTTGCACAAAAATTTCCTCCTGAGTGCCTCAAAGACAGGAGAACAATTTCAAGAATTACCAATGAAAAGTGGTAAATTACAACAAGGGAAAAACGGGGATTTTGTAAATGACAAAAAGAGAAAACAATATAAGAAGGTTGTACAAAAAACAAAAAAAAAAACGTTTGAGAAAAAACCCCCAAAAAGACCTACTTTCACTTTCACAACAATATTTTTGAAAAAGTTCCCTTTTAGTTTTAACTTCACACAGTTCGTGCATGGGAAAATTTCTTTGAAATCTTTCTGTTTTAGGCTCTCCAACCACAGGAGAATTTTCATTTGAACTTTTGGTCTCTCTGGTGCTGGCTGGTAACTGGTGCCAACTTTAATGTTCTCTTCTTGACAAATGGCTTCTTTGATGTTTTGCCTGTCCAAAAAATCATATCTATTGACCTGACCTCTATTTATTTAAAAAATTTGGCTCACCTCTGCAAAACTATTTGGTCAATATATACAAAAAAGAAATAATTTTCCATAAACTGGAAATAGATATTTCAAAATTTTGGTGGGTTTTAATTGCTGAGTCAAAAAAGATACACAATTGTAACAACTTTTGTACAAACCATTAGGCATTCATAAAAATACACTTCTCTCAAAAGAACGGGCGTAAAAAAAACAACAACCTAGGCAATTATACATTTAGATGATTATAACATTTTTAAAATAATAAAAATTAACTTTTTATACTATACTAGCAGTAGAGCCCGGCATTGCCCGGGGATGTAACAGTAAGAGATAGATCAAGTATCGACCATCATAAAGACTGAAAAATAAAATTGACAAAGATTATTGTTTAAGGTTGACGGACACGCATGTCTTAATTTGTTTTTTTTTTTTGTTTTTTAACGAATTGGTCAAACTCAAATGAAAACATTGTTTTCAATCGTTATGAGTCTATTGATTGAATAGAATTTTATTATAAACAATTGTCTTGTAAATGGAATTTTTAAAGCATTCTGAATGTAAAAATCAAGAAAAAAGTGTGCAAGACAATAAGAAACACTACCTGCCAAAAAAAAGTGAAGTTTTGTTGAAATCGGTTGAAAAATGTAGGAAATCCAATCCCATATATAAATGAACACACACACACACACACACACACACACAAACAACCTGGGTTTTATAATAAGTATAACTCGATATGAGTTGTCTCCCTTTCATTCTGGCGACTTAATCATGTTTTCAAATTGATTTTGTGCAAAAACAATTGTGTTTTTCCAATTTTTGGTGCTGTCAGACCCACCGCAAGGTAATTTTACATAGTCCTGTGAAGTTTTGTTGAAATCAGTTGAAAAATGTAGGAAATCCAATCCAATATATAAACGTACAGACACACACACACACACACACACACACACACACACACACATCTGCGTTTTATAATAAGTAAGATTCTTTGATTTAAGGTATTTTTTTTCTTATAAGAGTTAAATTATTCCTTGGTTAATACTTTTAATTTGTTTTCTTCTTTTTTTCTGCAGAATTGGTGCTAAAGGTTTTTAGTGCTGCAATGGCCACAAAAGTGGCACCACGTGATTGGCAGATCCATTTGCCAATGCCAACGAAACGTGTCTTCTCCACACCTGTAATCCTTAATGATTGCCTTTATGTTGTTGGTGGCTGTGATGTTCGTGGCAAACCTCTTGATTGCTTTGAAATGTACAATCTGAAGGCAAACACCTGGAAAACATTGGCAGGAATTCCAACAAAAAGAGCAGGAGCTGCTGCTGTTGCTGTTGGCAATAAAATTGTCGTACTTGGAGGTGTGTCAGTAACCCAGAAACCATTAGATTCAGTTGAGATTTACGATGTTGAAACAAACACCTGGACAGCCGGAGAGAGCATGAGAGAAAGTCTCTTGGGAATTCCTGCTGTGGTTTATGGTAAAGTTCTCTTATCATTGATTTCTTTCTTTATGAAGGCTGATTTTTCTGTTCCATGGATATACTGTTCATTTTTTTTTAATCATTTCACCCCAAAGAAGGCAATATAGCTACTGAGATGCAAGGAATTACTGAGTGTAAAAAAACAAAAAAAAAAACAAAAAAAAAAAAAACATTATTAAGTACTAGACCACCCATAAACCCATTCGGTCCCTTTTAAAAGCAGTTTATGATAAAAAAGGATGATATAACAATATTATCAATTCTATTATTAATTACACATTTTTAATTTGTATTTTCAATAAAAGTTATTGTAATAATTATTATTCAAATTATACAATATTATTTCGACCAAAATTAATAAAAAATGTTTACTTTTTTTTTTTTTTTAATGGAATTGTACACTAAAGGCCTTTCTGTTCAACTGCTAGTAGCTCAGGTGATAATTGATACCAATTTTAATATTTATCGTATAGTTAAAGTCATTCCCCCCCAAAAAAAAAACAAACAATTATCTGCTTAGAAAGATTGAAACAACAATTTTTCTACACTTAGTTTCATTTTTTTATCAAGGTTATTTTTTTAAAAATAATTACATTTTTTTTTTATTATACATACTTGTTTCTACCTTACATTTATTTCAAAATACATAATGGCAGCAAACCAGCATGCATCTATTTGCTTATTTACCATCAAGTCATGTGACACAATTTTCTATCCATACAGATTGTTTTACAATGACACACCCACATAGTCTCTTCACCTATCAAGTAGTTGCCAGACATCTGAGATATTTGTTTATAAAAAATTGTAATATAGTATCGTGAATTGGAGTATAAATTCAAAATATAGTTGGTAGGTTGGTAGATATTGAAAAATAAACTTAAAAGTTATTAATAATAAATTTAATAGGGATATTGATCCATTAATGTATATGAAGTCAACAGATAAGATTATTGTAATACAAACTAAAAAAGTTGGTAGTTATCAAATAAAAAGCATGGGTAGGTAAAAACGAATATAAGGTAAGGAAAAATAAAAAATATAAACAATAATAAAAAATAACATAACAAATTAAAAATAAAAAAGGGAACGCCAAGCTATAATGATTGTTAAACGCTAGGATGGTGCAAGGGAGGTAACTGAATATGAAAAAATTAGAGGTTGATCAGTGGCGATTTACAGCAGATATTAGATTAATTTATTTAATTATTATAATCTTGACTCAATATACATTAATGGATCAATATCCCTATTATTATGGTCAAATCACGCTGAAACACCAGTTCTCGTACGATCACTGAAGTTAAGCAGCATAGAGCCAGGTCAGTACTTAGATGGGGGACCGCTTGGGAACACCTGGTACTGTAAGCCCCCAAAGTCCAACCCTTACCTCACAGTCGGTGGGTGGGGTGGGGTGGGGTGTAAACAGTAGTGTCAGAGCTATGCCGCCCGGAACTTTGTTCCTGGCAGGGCCACCCAAGGCGGACAGGTCTGACACACACGCCGGCTAACAAGGGCTCTGGTGAAAATCCAAGGAGCGTCTGCATCTGTAACCGGTGGCTTCTGGTCGTTCCTGTCTCTGCGTCTGTGGGAACCCCGTGGCAAGCAAGAACGTTATCCGAGTAGGCCTGGGTACCCTACTTCTGTAATTTATCCCAAGAATCTTCTTCTCATAACAGGAAGAAGCCGGCTCAATCCGCCCAGGGTGAATGCCGCATCAGTACAGTACAGTAATATCCCTATTAAATATACTATTAATAACTTTTAATCTATTTTTTGATATCTACCTTCATTTATAGTCATGCTCTGAACCTCATTCCATGCAGCTGATATGGTCATTACTGCTTTGTAGATGTCATATCCTTTCCAAAACTCATGGACTGTGACGGATTCATTCAGATCACTTGCTGAAATAGCTTAATGTAGTGTACGCTTCATAGTTGTGTTTGAAGATTGCAATTATCCCTTGGTCCATTGGTTGCAACAGAGACATAGTGTGAGGTAGATGATGGTAATGTTGGGTTGAAAATCTCTGATGTTTTGTGGGTGGCTTGGAGTGTTATCTAAGAGAAGCAGAATCTTAAAAGTAATCCTTTTCTCATAAAGCAACTTTAGCTTCTTTAAACTCTACGTCTTTCTCATCTATATACTTTTTCTTGAGATTTTCAAACAAAGACAGTGCTTTCTCCTGAACCAGTTCCTGACATACTGAAGCAAGCCGACAATTTTGCCTGCCAATCCAAAGACAAGCTTTTCCATTTCTTCATAGATTTTTTTCCTCTTTTCTTGCGGATGATTATGTTCCTCATCCCTGGAGCTTGATCTTTAACATGTGATAAAACCCAGTCCTTATCATGAACAATTGTTGATGCAGTTGTATGGCTCAACCTAAAATATCTTGCAATTGCAACTACCTTTTCACCTTTCTCAAGATGTTTTATGATTTCCACCATATCTTCCAGTGATATAGCCTTATGCTTTGCACTGGGACTTTTCTTTGGAGCCATAGGCAAAAATGTATTCTAAATCAAAAATGAAATGTAAGTGAAAGAATGTCGATGGCAGAGAGCAGATGTAAACAAGTCTGAATTCAAAATTGTTATTGAAGTGTGGAAAAAACATGTTTACCACCTGTCAGCAGGAATTTAAATAAGAACATCTACTGGACATACTTTATTATGCTATTTTTTGTTTGTTTGTCATGATTTTATGATATATAGTATACATATTATTTAAAAATTTATTTAAATATGATTTTATATGTGTTTTACTGTTTTGATGTTTTTAATATTTTTAACAGTCAACATAAACTCAAGTAAAATGACCTAAGGCGAGTTTTATCTGTCTATATAATATTTAAGAAAAACTGACATATCTTCATATATATATGTATATATATATATATGTGTGTATATATATATATATATATATATATATATATATATATATATATATATATATATGTAAGCAAATATATGGATATAGATCCGATAGTATGAAAAAAAAAATACAGAAAAAAATAAACAAAAATCTTAATATGCAATTATGCTGTATTAATGTTAATATAAAAGTCGACGTCAGACATTTCGGTCTATTTAAGACCATCTTCATGGACATTTTCATTTAAACATAATTAACATTAGAACATATAAAAATTCAACACGAAAAGATGATGGACATAAGAGCACAACTAATCCAAACAGATAACTGAAATTTTTATATAAGATCAGCGTTCCGTTTAAATATGATCACGTCGTCGTCACGTGGGCGATGTTGTGAAAACGTATTCAAAGATGATTTCCAAATATTAAAATATTAAAAAAAGTCGATTGAACTATTTTATATAAACAGTTCAAGAAATCCCTTCCGTTGATATAGGAATACGCAGAGATCACTAGGTTCTTATATCTTCATACAAGCTTGAAGTCCTCCACGTTACAAAGCAAATCAAAAATGATTTAAAAAACGATGGAACAATTTCAAAAAACAGTTCGATAATAAATCCTTTCCTTACTTGATCAATAGATTCTTATATTTTCGTACAAGCTTGAAGTCTTCCATGTTATAAAGTAAATACAAACCTGAATAGGAGGATGGATACAGTCAGTGATTGGTAGAACTTGAACTTGCTGTAGAAGCTGATGTTGCTCTTCCGTATCCTTTCCAGTCTGGCTGTTGTTTCTGTGGCTGTGGCGCTCCATGTGCAGATTTCTGTGTTGCAGGTGTCATCATTTGACAGGGTTGCTCCCAAGTATTTAAAGCTGGACATTTCCACCAGTGGTTTTGCCATCCATGTTGACGCTGACTCTGGTGTTGCTTGTGCTCTTCACCATTACTTTGGATTTCTCTGTGTTGAGCTGCATTCCATAACTGGGTTGAAGCTTCTCTCTTCCACAAACAAAATATTGCAAACCTATCGCTGCTCTATCACTATTTCCATGGAAGATATTCTGACACACTTTATTCCTTAGTTCAGCTCTAACCTGCCCTGCTGCATACACAGGGTTGAATCATTCTCATTGGCTTCATATTCCATGAGCAAGGAGGAAGTTCCATTCAGACAGCTTCTTCCTAAGAACTGTTACTTTGCAGAACAGAACTTAAGAGGATCCTTCCCCAACCACTAGAATCTTAACCTCTTCAAGTCTGTGGTCAATGATTATCTATCCTAGATATCTTAACAATTTACACTTTTTACTTCCTCCTCATTCAGGAACTTTCTATCTTGAGTGGCTCTTGGGTCTTGTATTGGGTGAACAATAATGTAAAAGAAAGTTTCAAGTCTTTTCAAAAAGTTATTTTTATTTTCCAATCTGTGCTGATCTTTCTTCAAATATTTTCCAGAGGATCAAGTACTTGTGACGGGTGGCATGTCTGCGGATGGTAACCCTCGGAACTACTTCATGTCTTATAATTTGAAGACGAACATGTGGAAGAGTTTACCCCCAATGCCAACAGAACGTTATGCTACGTTCGCATTTCTCATAGACAATCAACTTTATATAACTGGTAAGTAATTGTTAATTGTTTTGTTTACATTAAATAGTGACATTTTCATTCTTTCTTTTCTTTTTTTTTGTAATTTTTGTTTATTTCAGGTGGGGGGTACCAGTGAAGCTGGTGAAATTGTTGTCATTAAGTAAGGTTTTTCCCATATGCTTAACCTTTTCATCAATAAATATAACATAAAAACCGAGTCAGTAAAAATCCTTCAGCTACAAAATTAAAAAAATAAAATAAAACCCAAACTATTATATCTATTACTACTAATAGGTGTAAACAGGCAAAAACAAGTAAAATGACTAAAATGAAAAAAAAACTAGTCAAAAATGAATAATAATTACAATGCTTCATCTAAGACATTCGGACAACTGTTGTTGTGTCAGATCAAACCAAGTATGGAATGTTGCTGCCAAAACCTCACACTCTGGTCTTGGAAAAGTTCAGAAGTGATTGCACAGTGTTGTGGATGATAAATAATACAGTTGCCCTCCACCCTGCCATGATTGTTGGCTTGTGAGACATCAGCAAGGATGAATACAACAAATTTAAAAAAAAATTTATTTTAATTTTTTTTCAAAAACCCAAGTCTGAATAACAGTGTTTAAAAACAAAGATGTCTACTCTAACATATATATCCATGAAATATAATGTTTAAAGTAAGATATATATAAGATATATATATATATATATATATATATATATTCTATGCATGTGTACATACACACACACATACAGATGTACACACACAGCGATACGTGCTGTCATACTCATGACTTCACATAACAACCGCATCAGCATCCACAGGATTTCCTCTTCCTTTTCCTCAAAAAATGCCTCCAAGATTCCAATTAAATCCTTTGTGATCTGTAATAGACATCTGATGTTTCAAAACTTGATTGAATCCATGATGTTTATGACCATGGTGAGTGTATCCTTTTGTATATAGACACTCTTCCTTTATTGGCAATGTTCCAGCATGCTCATCTCCTTCCCTTCCATCATACTTGCCAAATGCTCTTTGTAACTTGTTTTTCATTTCATTGAATTCCAAGGATGCTGTTGCTCTAACCAATCGTACATGGTCATCTGATAAATTAGCTGCTGTTAACGAAACATATGCCAAAACACCATCTTCAAATGATAACGTGTACTTTTTTTTTATTTCTCTGAAAGAGCATGCAAATACACCAAAATTGCTCTGGGAATTAACTAGTACCCCAAAACAGCTTAAAAGGAAAAATGAATGTACATTCATCCAATTCAATATTTATGACTTTTACCCGTCCATCACTGATAATTTGCTAATGTCTGCCATAAATCTAGCAAAAAAATTACTGTTCTATTAGTGCTTGCAAAATAAATATCGCAAAGCAGGCACAAAAAACCTATACTATTCCTTAATGGTTATCTGTGGACCAAGGGAGCATTTGATTCAGTGGAAGCATGCAAACTTGTTGGAGTTCTATTATTGTGGTGACTTAGATTTATTTTCAACATTAAAGACACTGAAATCTATAGAGATGACAATGTTATTATCCTCCATAAAACTATCCCACAAAATATAGATTGATTGAGAAAGGAACTGATAAAATTTTTTAAAGATCACAAACTAAATATTACCACCACCACCAATGCTAAAGGAAATTTCATTTCTACCATCATTGAATGACTTTAGGCAATATAAAATACAAAACCAGCACAACTCTCTCCTAAATATTTTTAGCAATTAAAGAATAGTTCTAATACACCTATTATCACCTGGGATATTGTAGCAAGAGCCAAATCTTACAACTGGAAAGGAAATAAATGTAATTTATGTCTTGCTGAAAAATTAGTTACCTTAAAACACTTAAATAACCCTAGCTTATTAAACAAGAGAAATGAATTGATGGTTACATGTAGGCATAAGAATAAATATCTGCTTAAATATGTTGATCCATATTAATTTTTAATGTAAATTACTGCTTATTTTTAATGTTTGTTTTTAAATAAGAACAAATAATCTCCAGTTTAATTAATTAAAAATTTAATATTCACGAGTCAAAAGTAATTTATATAATATTATGTATTATATAAATTATTTTTGACTTGTTATGGTTAATGGTCAGAGTTGAATCAGACCAGGAAACTAGTAATAAAAAGTGCTCAATGCATGAGTGAAAAAATAAAAGTAAAAATAATATGTAGAACTTTTAACTTTAAAAATCAGGTGATCAGTTGAATCTGCTACCTTGGTTTCAACCTTATGGTATCCTCAGGCAATTTTTATCAAATGACCTCTTAACACTTTATTTTTATTAAAAAAACTAATGAACGCTACATTATTTTAAAAAATAAAAAAAATAAATGCACAATGTTGGGTTTAATAGAAAGGGAAGAGGAGCATGTGAAGAAGGAAGAAGAAGGGGAAAGAAAAGAAAAGCAAGGTTATTATAAATGTATTGTGGAGGGGGTTAATTGAAATGTACATTTTTTTTTTTATCCAGCCTCATATAGGCTTAAAAGGAATTTCCTAATATATAAGCAAGAACTCAAGATATTCCGATTCCTGGTTCAAATCTGAAGTCTTGAGTCCTTGATTACATATTAGGAAATTCCTCTTAAGCACATATGAGGCTGGGCAAAAAAAATATACATTTCATTCCCCAATACATTTATAGTACCCTTGCTTTTTTTTTCTTCCCCCTTCTTCTCCTTCCTTCTTCACATCCTCCTCCTCTTCCCTTTCTCCGTCCTGGGTATGATGATAAACTACATCTGTGTCCAGGGTAAGATGATAAACTACGTCCAACAGCAAGGCCTCTGATCAGGAGGTTTTGCGGAGCGTGGATCCACCTCTTAATTGCTGGTGTTCACAGATCCACCCTGATCCGGGGTGGTAGCACCTGTAAGGGGGTCCCAGCTATGTGCAGATAGTTAACCTTGAAACTGAGGTAAAAAGCATTATGAAAGTGTAAAAATAGGTTTTAATACCAGAAATACTTTGTAAAAAAATTATTACCAGAAATATATTTTTGAAGAAGGAAAACTATTACCAGCAATATGTTTTTGAAAAAAAAAAATATTACCAGCAATACATTTTTTAAAATTATATTACAAGCTATACATTTTTGAAAAAAAATATTACCAGAAATAGATTTTTGACAAAACAAAAATATTACCAGGAAAAAAAAAGCTGTCGGCATTAAATGAAGGTTGATATGCCGTAAAACAAACCAAACAAAAGCAAATCTTCCCTTTCTATTACACCCAACATTGTGCATTTGTTTATTTATATTTAAAAAAAAAATAATATAGTGTCCATTAGTTTTTAAAAAAAATAAAGTGTTAAGAGGTCATCTGATAAAAATCACCTGAGAATACTGTAAGGTTGAAACCAGGGTAGCGCATTCAAATGACATCCTGATCTTTATAATGTATATGTAAAATGTACAAATCCTGTTTATTTTAAATGCTAAATATAATTTTTAAAATTAAAAAAACTGTACTCCCAGTATAATATATAATTGCACCAACATTGCAATAACCAGATATATTCTTTAAAATTCCAATTATCTAATGGTCAGTCCATACCTGAAAATTGTGTTGTGCATGAGACTTTGAGCTGTGCTATCATTGATAGAGATTTTATATATATATATATATATATATATATATATATATATATATGAAGAAAAAATTTGGAAAAACAAACAAAATCCTTAAATGCAATTATATTGTTTTAAATGAATGAAATGTCACGTCTGACGTTTAAGTTTAATAAACCTTTTCAAGACAATATTCATTAAAATACAATTCAGTTCAATTTGAAAAAATTTTCAGTTATCTGTTTTGGATAAGACTTGTTTTTTATGTCCATCGTTTTTGTCAAATTGAACTGAATTGTATTTTTAATGAATATTGTCTTTGAAAAAGGTTTATTAAACCAAACGTCAGACGCCGATGCATTTCATTCATTTTAAACAACATAATTGCATTTAAGGATTTTTGTTTGTTTTTTTCCAAATTTTTCTTCATTCTGTCGGATCTATATCCATTTATATTTATTATATATATATATATATATATATATATATATATATATATATATATATATATATATATAAAAATGCAGTGTTACATTAGATCATGCACATACCCACTATAAAAACTGTAAATCTTGTTTCAACGTTAAAAAAAATGTTTTTTAATGTTTCATCAGGTGGGGAATCACAATGGGACTGAAATATTTTATTCAGAAATGCATTCCTTTTCTCTTATTTCTCTTCTTCCTCTCACTGTAACTAATCACTTAGATTCCTTTCTTTTTCCACATGTAAATTCTTTCATACCTTTTATTGGAAACTTTCTAATGACAGAAGTGGAAGGTATGCTTTGATAATTGCATTTCTGAATAAAAGATTTCAGTCGCATCATGTTTCCCCACGTGATGACATGTTAAAAAACGTTTTTTTTAACATTGAAACAAGATGTACAGTTTTGTAGTGGGTAAGTGCATGTTCATAATGTAATACTGCATAATAAATAAATATTTACGGCTCTACTTTTGTATTGAGCTCTGTTTAAATTAATGTTTTGAATGCTGAAATCTTTACTTTCATTCTTTTTTACATTTGGTTTTTTATATATATATATATATATATATATATATATATATATATATATATATATATAGTTGTATGGACATTAGTTTGTAACCCTGCATTTCACACTTTTGTGATCATCAAACTCTGAATATGCTAGCTCTATCACAGATATTGAGAACTTTCCACTAAATACTGTACATCTATCTATCTATCTATCTATCTATCTATATATATATATATATATATATATATATATATACAATATAAATATAGATAACTAGACTCTGTTTCAAAACCCTCGAATTTTGATTTGCTAATCAAATCAATCTCGAGGGAAAAAGGTTTTAAAAAAGAAAAGAGCTACAAACATGGACTTCTGCCGACAAAAAATCGCACAGATGCAGGTCTGAAGCCCAAAAAAAAAACCCGATACGAGTAACAACTAACTAACAAAAAGAGCTCAATACAACCATAGAGCAGACCTAGATACACTAGTGAGCCAGACAAACCTACCTAGGTTTGTCTGGCTCACTAGGTGTATCTATATATATATATGTGTGTGTGTGTGTGCATGTTTCATTGAATAATATAGACATATTATGTCTATATATTTTTATACTGATCCTTTCCACTTCTCTAATTAGTTTATCAGTTTCTTGATGTTAAGATGAAATAGATTCAAGAAAGACACCATAGCTGTTTTCCTACCCAAGTACTTTCAATTTCCTCCAAGATCATCCTCAGGGGTGAATTACAAAGACAAAATTATTGTAACTGTGATAAAATCTGCATTTTGTTGTGATGGTGATTTTTAAAAAAACATGCGTGAACGTGCTCTGTAAAATTTAATATTTATCTGGTGTAGCTATGGAATTTTGCGTAAAACAAATGTTTCAATATAAGGGAGCTGACCAGAAATTCATAGCATGCAAAATGGCATTAGATGTTTGTTATATGCACTTCAACACATTGCTGTTACACTCATAATAAATTTTGTTGAGTGTTGGTTGGTTGATTTTGATATAATGGGCCTCAAGATGTAAATAAGCAACATTTTAAAAATAAAAACTTGTCAAAATAATAATGACAAAGCTTCGTCTAAAGATTTCTGATAACTGAAGACTATTATGTCTGATACTGCTATTAGGTGTAAACAAGCAACAAATATAAGATGAATGCAAAACTAGTTGAGAAATAATAAAGAAAATGCATCATTTTAAAATTTCCAACAATGTAAGACTATGTCTACTATTATGAGGTGTAAGCAAGCAACAAATATATGGAGAGAAACTAGTTGAGAATGAATAATGATATATTTTCCCTCAAAAGTTTTCATAACTCCAGATTATTTCCTTATGAAAATATTTGGTTATTAAAACTCTTCCTTCATTATTTCCTTTACTTCATAAAATTCTTTTCTTTTCTTTTTTCTTTCAGGTGGACGTCAAGGCAAGCTTCCTGTAGATGCTTTTGAAAAGTATGATTTTTCTTCAAAGACATGGGAAAAATTACCGAACATACCTTCAAAACGAGTCTTTGCACTTTATGCATCGAACAACACTCACATTTTTAGTGTTGGTGGTTTGAAACAAAAAGCTGAGGAAGGTTTCTCTGACACTTTGGAATGTTATGATATTACAGAGAGTGAGTAAAAGTTTTAATTTAAATTGTTTAGAGAAACTGTGATACCACAGGCAGGATTTATTAATCATATATGGCAAGACATTCATTCTTTCTAATGATTGCATGTACAAAGAGATACAGCAGATAGTAAAGGTTCAGCAATTCACTGGAAATCCTACTCCAATAGGAACTCATTGGAAATCCTACTCCAATAGGAACCCATTGGAAATCCTACTCCAATAGGAACCCATTGAAATCCTACTCCAATAGGAACCCATTGAAATCCTACTCCAATAGGAACCCATTGGAAATCCTAACCCAAAATAGGGAACCCATTGGAAATCCTACCCAATAGGAACCCATTGGAAAATCCTACTCAATAGGAACCCATTGAAATCCTACTCCAATAAGACCCATTGAAATCCTACTCCAATAGGAACCCATTGGAAATCCTACTCCAATAGGAACCCATTGAAATCCTACTCCAATAGGAACCCATTGGAAATCCTACTCCAATAGGAACCCATTGGAAATCCTACTCCAATAGGAACCCATTGGAAATCCTACTCCAATAGGAACCCATTGGAAATCCTACTCCAATAGGAACTCATTGGAAATCCTACTCCAATAGGAACCCATTGGAAATCTTACTCCAATAGGAACCCATTGGAAATCCTACTCCAATAGGAACTCATTGGAAATCCTACTCCAATAAAAATTCATTGAAAATCCTTCCCCAATAGAAATTCATTGAAAATCTTTCTCAAAAGAAATTAATTGGGAAACCTTCTATAATAGAAATTTATTGGAAATCTTTTTCACATTTGTTGTTTATGTACATTAGGATTTATCCAACAAACATAAAAATAGACATTCATTCTTTTGTACATAAAAAAGAAAAGTTAACTAAAAAAATAACAAACTTTCTTTGTTTGGTCTTTAATCAAACTTGTATAAAAAAGACTGTTGCCTAAACATACTTATTTGGTAAAGCTTGGGCTGTTGCTTTCGGCACATCTCATAGGCATTTGACAGGGTTTGGCATATTACTCATGCTCAAAAGTTGAAAGATTATGATATTTCTGGACAAATTTTTTCTGTCACAGATATTGCCTGCTTTAATGACTGGTCACAAGACATCACCCCAAGGGTTTTATATTGGTTCAATGGTTTACTTCATTCTTCTTTGCTGAGTTTCGCTAATTTTGTTCTGAGAATTCATTATCGTTCAAATGAGCTTTGTATTTGGTGTCTTGATCATTTTTATCAAAGCATATGACCAGATTGTCAACTAGCTATCATCATTTTACTGTTGAAATAGATGTGGAACCATAATATATTTAGTTTAAGGCATAGAATTCTGTTTAAAATATATTTAGTTTAAGGCATAGAATTCTATTTAAAATATATTTAGTTGAAGGTATAGAATTCTGTTTAAAATATATTTAGTTGAAAGCATAGAATTCTGTTTCAACTATATTTAGTTGAAGGCTTTCAATTCTGTTTCAACTATATTTAGTTGAAGGCTTTCAATTCTGTTTCAACTATATTTAGTTGAAGGCATTCAATTCTTTTTCAACTATATTTAGTTGAAGGCATTCAATTCTGTTTCAACTATATTTCGTTGCAGGCATACAATTGTGTTTCAAATATATTGAAGGCATACAATTGTGTTTCAAATATATTGAAGGCATACAATTGTGTTTCAAATATATTGAAGGCATACAATTGTGTTTCAAATATATTTAGTTGAAGGCATTCAATTCTGTTTCAAATATATTTAGTTGAAGGCTTTCAATTCTGTTTCAAATATATTTAGTTGAAGGCTTTCAATTCTGTTTCAAATATATTTAGTTGAAGGCATTCAATTCTGTTTCAAATATATTTAATTGAAGGCATACAATTCTGTTTCAAATATATTTAGTTGACGGCATACAATTGTTTCAAATATATTTAGTTGACGGCATGCAATTCTGTTTCAAATATATTTAGTTGACAGCATGCAATTCTGTTTCAAATATATTTAGTTGACGGCATGCAATTCTGTTTCAAATATATTTAATTGAAGGCATACAATTCTGTTTCAAATATATTTAGTTGAAGGCTTTCAATTCTGTTTCAAATATATTTAGTTGAAGGCTTTCAATTCTGTTTCAAATATATTTAGTTGAAGGCATTCAATTCTGTTTCAAATATATTTAGTTAAAGGCATGCAATTCTGTTTCAAATATATTTAATTGAAGGCATACAATTCTTTTTCAAATATATTTAGTTGACGGCATACAATTCTGTTTCAGATATATTTAGTTGACGGCATACAATTCTGTTTCAAATATATTTAGTTGAAGTCATACAGTTCTGTTTCAAATATATTTCGTTGAAGGAATTTAATTTTGTTACAAATATATTTAGTTGAAGTCATACAGTTCTGTTTCATATATATTTAGTTGAAGTTATACAGTTCTGTTTAAAATGTTTTATTTGCTTAAAAATTTATATTCTTCAATTGCAAGATGCAGATAAAAACTCTAATGTTTCTATATTTCTTCCAGATGCTTGGATTGTTGGCCCTTCAATGCCCACAAAAAGAGGTGACTTTGCCATTGGAATGGTTGATGGTAAATTGGTTTGTGCAGGAGGCTTTGGTAAGTGTTGTTGCAACTGCTGATGTTGTTGTTACTGTTATTATTGTTATCTACTTATTTATTTTATTTTATTTAAAATTTTTGGAATGGAAAAAAATATTTTATGAAACAGCTATCTGCAACTTATAATTGTCAGCCCTTATCCGTGGAGGCATAGATTCAATTCATCTCTCTCTCTCATTGGATGATTGAAAATATGATTGGCACTCGTATCCAAGTATGCCTGTCGAGCCAATCCCTGTTGCAGACGCCTGCTCAGACACATTTGTGTTTGTTTCACAAGAAGTAACAATAACAGAACCCATCTGTGTTTTTAAAAAAAAAAACTGTAACTAAAATTCAAAAAAAAAAAAATACTGAGCAGATCAAAAAAAAAAAAAAAAAACTTTCGACATAGTTTAGATTTATTTGGCTGGGAAATTAAATACTAGTCTCAAAAAAAAAAAAAAAACTCATTCTGACGGATAGAAGATTCATTCTTACTGTAGATATTATTTAAGATTAAAATGATTCACAATCATAATAAAATGAGGATAGAAATAGTTCTGTCAAAAAAAAAAAAGTTTTACTCACAAAAAAAAACTCATTCAACCAACAGTATGTTTTTCAGGCACCTTTCACAAAATGATTCACAAGTAATAATAAAATAGAGAATTATAATAGGCTGATAACATCAAGAAATAACCTTTCTGATGAATCAAGCAAAATGAGATTCAAACTTGGGTCTTATGGCCGGAAAAAAATAACATAAGATTCATTCTTACTTGGCCAAAATGATTCATAAGAAGTAGATATTAAAAAAAAAAAAAAACTCATTCTGACATAGAAGATTCGTTCTTACTGTAGATAGATTAACAAGAACTAAAGATTAAATAGAAGAATTATAACAATAGACCAATAAAAAAAGTCATTCTGACGGATAGAAGATTCATTCTTACTGTAGATATTATTTGGCACAAGAAATGATTCACAAGAAGTAATAATAAAATAGGAGAATTATAATACTAGTCTGTAAAAAAAAAAAAAAAAAAAAACTCATTCTGACGGATAGAAGATTCATTCTTACTGTAGATATTATTTGGCACAAAATGAAAAAAAGAATAATAAAATAGAATTATAAGTAATAAAAAAAAAAAAAAACTCATTCTGACGGATAGAATTATAATTACTAGTCTGTAAAACAAAAAAAAAAAAAAGAAGCCATTCTGACGGATAGAAGATTCGTTCTTACTGTAGATATTATTTGGCACAAGAAAAGATTAACACAAAGAAGTAATAATAAAATAGGAGAATTATAATACTAGTCTGTAAAAAAAAAAAAAAAAAAGAGTCATTCTGACGGATAGAAGATTCGTTCTTACTGTAGATATTATTTGGCACAAGAAAAGATTAACACAAAGAAGTAATAATAAAATAGGAGAATTATACCAATAGATTGTAAAAAAAGTCATTCTGTTGGATAGAATATTCGTTCTTACTGTAGTTATTATTAGGCCCAAGAAAAGATTAACAACAAGAACTAATAATAAAATAGGAGAATTATAACAATAGACTGTAAAAAAAGTTATCTGACTGGTAGAAGATTCATTTTTACCCTAGATCTTAGTAATTAGGCACAATAAGCATCTGCTAGAGAATTACTTTACAGGTCCAAGAGTGCCAGAGTGATGTTGACTAAACTCATATAAAAGAAGCAAATTGTGAATGAGGTGAACTGTGCAGGCATTCGTGCTGGAATGACATGACACATGCATCACTGGACTAGACCAAGGCTGGCAATATGTACAAGATGCTAATTTTCTGGCTTTGGAAAAACACATAAAGGAGGTAAATGTTTGTTAGGATATCACTAAGCATTTACACTCAGTACAGGTCAGGTCAGTGCATTGAGATGTGCGCTAAATCAAAGATCCTTACAAGTGCTGTTCCAGTGTCTGTGCTACAGAAGAAATGTTTTCCTGCTACAAAGAAATTAATAATAATAATAACTTAAAACAATTATAAGAATTATACTGTAATAAAAATAACATGACGAATAGAAGATTCGTTATTACCATTGATCTTTTTAGACACAATAAAAGATTAATAATGACTAATAATAAAATAAAATTTTTTGTGACGAATCAAGCTTTGGGTCTTCATCAGAAGATCTTGTTTATCAATGCTGTACATGATGAGTTTCTACTTTTCTGTTTTGCTTCATTGATTTAGTTTGAAATTTTTAAAAGTTGTTTCTCTGAATATCAATTTGGCTTTTTATTTTTTCAGCTGATTAGTGTTTTGTCTTCTATGTTTACTTTCCTTTTGTTTTTTTCTCTCTCATTCTTTTCAATTCAGTTTTGTCATCACATAGAAAGATCATTTTCTGTTTTGTTTGTTGAGGCTAGATAAGATTTGATTATGTTTTGTTTTTATGTTACTTGGGTCAAAATTTAGAGATGTTAATTTGAACTCTTATCACAAAATGCTTTGTTTTTAAAGAGATTCGATGTTATAATCCTCTTTCAAGTTATGTATGCAGTGGTGAGTTATCTTCTTTGCAGGTGTTTTTCGTCTGGTTACTAAAATTGTGGCCTATGAATGTTATCAAAGGGGATAGGTAGTAGAGTAATTATTTTATCAGAAACTTTGGGAATAAAATGAACAGACTCAAGGGTTAAAATAAATAATATATTTATTTATTTTCTTTAGAGTGATGACTGAGTCCTTTGCAAAAAGTTTGTTAATAAGGTGGATATTGATAGCAGTCTGGAGAAAAATCCATTTTGGTAGTTTAAAGTAAGACAACGGTATGGGTAGTAGTAATGTGAGAAATTAGGTCAGATGTCAATCTCGTGTGTTCTTTTCAGCCTAGAAACAGGACGGAAATGGCAGTAGCAGGCAACCTCTTGCTTCTTCATGTGTCACATATGGATGCATTCTTTCATTCTGTCTCCCCTGGGTTTGTTCTGGTCACCTCTCTCTCTCTTCTGTCAGGGATGTCAGGTTTTTATACTTTTGAATAGGCTTGAGACTTTGGTGCAAACATTAAAGCCTCTTCGTGTCAATTTTTTTGATTGGCCAAATTATTTCATTTTACAGGATTCCTTTGCTTAAAATACTAATTTATATAAAATTTTATTACAAAATATTCAACATAATATAATTAAAATGGGTATAACCTAAAATGTTGTGAGAAATTTAAATTATTGAAATTTTTAATTTCCAAACCCAGTGAAATATTTTAATATAAAACCCCAATTATAATTTTTACTTGTTTTTAATAACAAAATTATTTTTTTAATTTTTTTCTTTGTTTTTAAATATCATGTTTTCAAACTGTTTAAATTCCCCCTTTTTATTTTTCATTAATTTAATTTTTTTCTTCAAATTTAAATATATTTAAATACAATATTAAAACAAAAACAAATTGGGTTTAAAATTATTTATTTTTAAAACATTTTTAAGTACTTATGGTTACAATTTTTTAAAATTATTTTAATTTCCAATATATTTTCTGTTGCCATTTAATTAAACATTTTTTCAATATCTATTAAATCCCCTATCCATAAATGTATAAAACAATTCATTTTAAAATATCAAATAAAAATTATTTTTAAACTGTAAAAGGGTTATTTTTATCATATTTTCATAACAAATTTTTTAAAATTATTTTTCTTTTTATCTTTTACTTTCTTTTAATATAAAAATAATATTTACAAGATAAAGGGGGTACATTTCAAAATTTTAACAATAATATAAACCCAATAAAATTAAAATTTTAACATATATTAATATAAAAAATATTATTTATTTAAATAATTTATAAAATTTATAATCATTTAATACTATATATAAAAATATATATATATAAAATATATATATATATGCAATATAATATATATAATATATATATATAAAATATATATATTTTTTATAACTATAATATTTTTAAAATTTTCTTTTATACTAATTTTTATAGAAAAAATTTATTTACATATGTTTATTTAATAAATATATTAATTTATATTTACTTAACTGAATATTAAAAAAATTTTAAACTTAAAATTTTTATTTTGGGCCAAGACAAAAATTGAAAAGGGTATTTAATACGAAAAATAATGTAACATTTTTTCCGTAACAATATATATCTATAAATTTTATACTTTCTAAGGTATTTTTTAATATTATTTAACAAATATATATATATTATTTATATATATATGTATATATATATTTGTAATATATATATATATAATATATAAAAATGTATAAAAATATATATATACATAAAATGATAAAATATTATGAAATATGTAATATATAATAATATGATATAATATATATAAAATATAAAATATATTATACATATATAATATATTATATATATAATATTTTAATATACATAAAATTATACATATATATATTACATGTTTTAAAATATGTATATCTTTATACATTACTAATAACATAAATACATGTGTGCATAAAACTTTAATTTTCTTTTACAGGGATATACATTATTTTATATACTTTAATATATATACATATAAAATTTTGCATATTTAATATATATACATTAATATATACAAAAATTAATATATTATACATATACTTTGTAAAACATATTATATATATAAAAATTATAAAAACATATATTATAACATTATATTATTCAAACATTTTTGTATTAATATTTTATATATATAATTTACATTATATATATATATATATATATATATTAAAATAAAATAAAATTATGTATTATACATTTTAATATATTTGAAATATATATAAAATTTTGTAATAAAATTATATATAAAATATAAAAATGTTTTAAAATATAAAATAAAATATATTATGTATAATATAATATATTTACATTACATATACATATTATAAAATGTATGTAATATAATAAAATTAAAATGAAATTAAAATGTAATATAATATGTATACAATATATATAAAATTCCCATATACATATATATAAAATATCATGTGTTTCATTCATGGTTGTGTTTTTTGGGGCATGTTTTGTGTGTTAAAAGGGGGCCACATGTATGTTTTTTTATAAAAACATTTTAGGGCTGCATTATTATACTTTAAAAATGTATTTTATATACAGGGTATTACATAATATATTTTTATAATGTATATTATTATTTATATTATTTTTAATATATATTAGTGTATATATAATTATGTATACA